CGCCAGTGGGCATGCTTTACTTCAGGCATTTGTGTGCACAGTGACCCCACCATGATATTGAGAAGATGCTGTTACTTGGATATTGACTTGGAAGACTTATTACTTGCTGAGAAATACAGACCTGGCTGTAACGAGAGACGAAATTGATCAGGAAATATCCTGAAGAAGTAGTGAAAAACAAGAAGGATTTCTTAAGCAAACTTGCCAGTTGACTACACTATTAAAAAGCTGATATGTCTGTTTATTTCTGACTATTTTCTTTTCCTCGTTCATCAGGGGTATTGTAAAATGGTAGAGGGAAGTGGGTTCTTCTGTACTTCTGTGACATAGAGATGGAGTTTGGCTGGTAAAGCAACAAAACTCTTGGGATTGTGTCTTCTGTTTAGTAGTGGTAGCTGGAGATAATGCTAAGCAGAAGCTCAGGGAAAAAATAAAATAAAATTTAAAAAACCCAAAAACCTGCAAACACTTTTAGAGTTACCTGACCTTGGTAAGAGATCAGCGCCTGCTGCCGAACAGCAGGAGGGATGTGTGTTGTTCTGGGACTGTAGGTATACAGGGATTACTCTGTCATTGTATCGTGTTAGCTCTGGTTGGAGGCTTAAAATGTGTTTGACTTCTGAAAACTTTATTTGGGTTTTTCCTTCTCTGATGCCTTCTGGTTCAAAGAGCATTAGTATAATTTTGTGCATCCCATATTCCCACAACTCTTATGTAGAAGTAAGCGGCTACTCTGTCCCTTTACCCCTTTTTGTCAAGTGTGAAGACCCTTGCCTTATCCTCTCACCCCTGCCAGTTTCTGGAACTATTTGCTTTTTGGGTCTCTTTCTGAGATTATCCCTGAGTTTACTTTTGCAATTGTCCTAGACCCTTTTGCCCTTTGTTCCGCAGAGTTCTGCTCACAACTCACCCTATTTTCCCCTTTTTAATTTTTTTTTTTTGTTATTATTTCATTTGTTTCTGTGGCCACCTTTCCCATCTCAGTCTTCATTCCAGGACCAGCTTCATGCTTCCTGGGCTTTTCTAATCCTCTTTTCCAGTCCAAGTCTTTTCCAAGGACTTGTCCTTTTCTTCAAATTAACTTCTTCCAAAACTGTGTAAACATTTTCTTACAACACCTCAACACTGTCACTCAACACTCACACAACTCATCTTCAATTTAAAACAATAAAGCTTAAGTTCTTGCTCTCCGTGGTAAACTTCTTCATGAAGGGATTCGTTTTTGTTGGCTCATGCAGCAAGGAGCATAATGTTGGCACCTGAGGAGCAATGTGCAGGCTCTGCAGCTAGCGTGTGAAATCGATTGCGTAGCAACCTCAGGGGTGTCATCTTGTTTGTTGGAGAAAAGCAGCTGATGACTCATTTCGGCAGATGTCAGTAAAAAGTCAGAGCCGACTCACCTGCTTAAAGCTGCAGAGAGCAAAATCAGGGTAGGGGTTTAGTTGGGATGTCAGGAGTAACTGTGTAACTTCAGGAGGAATGTTTGGTGAGGATTGGGTGTTCAGTTAAGGGAATTACTGAAATTTCTTAGGGCAAATATTTAAATTTTTTTTTGTAAATTCTGTCTACATAGTTGGAGGTTTTCAGCCACAATTAGTTTCAAAGCTGTCACAAAAGATAAACTAAGTAAATGACCTGTAATTTAAGTGGTGAGTCTAGTTGTATTCGCCTTCCTCCCACAAAAAGAATACACCTAGAGAAACTCAGCGTTCCTGAAAATCAGTCTAGGAAAGTGAGTGCCCAGCTTGAGCTCCAAAGGTATGAAACATTTCTGGTCCGTGCTTTATTTGGCCAACACTGGGCTGTGAGGCTTTCTTAAAATATATGTGTACGTGTATATATACCTCATAATGAGGAGTAACTGTTCTGAAATGAACTGTGTTCTTCTGTGTAACTTCTTACAAACTCTAATGGATTTTAAAAATGAATGAAAGCAGATCTTGATAACAGCAATGTTCAAAATGATTTAGAATTACTGAAGAAGTGAAATTATGAAGTTACAATGAGAGGGTACAGTTACAGCCCGATCTGCTTTGCTTACTTTCTTAGATTTAAGAATAATATTATTATTTAGGGCTCTCCTGGGTGAGTCTGTATTTGCAAGAATGAGAGCTTTCAGGTCAGGTGCATCTTCCTTGTCTGTGCTTCTCATTCTCACGCTTGCAGTGTGTAATGTGCAGATTGACGTGCTGTTTGGAGAAATACAGGCTGCCTAAACAGAACTGAGATGAACAATATGTTTTAATTTCCATATAAACATGTTATTTGTTGTCTTTCGCTAGTAGCACAAGCACTTATTTTCCAGCAGATTAAAATCGGCATTACGTAGTTAACAGGGGACCATAGTACTAGTTTGAAGCATCCCTGAGACTTGGTAGCCTTCTTTCACCCTACCCTCTACCCTTCACGGGGGTTTTTATGTTGCTGTAAGTGGTTGCTATTACACCACTTGTTCACATTGCAGTTTTAACTCATTGTCATTAGGAGACTTTCACTTTCTTTCCTGCTTCAGTGGACAGGTTTTATAGGAAGTATTTAAGAGGCACAATGTGTACCTTGGGAAGGGCCAAACTGAACTAAGTTGCCACCTGAGGTGGGACAGTGACAGCAAGAAAGTTCAGATGGTAAATGGGTCTAAAAGCCATGTTTCTGCATCGTCGGAGTGTGTTGCCTGGAAGTTGAGTGGTACTCAGCTTGGTCGCTGTGCTGAAAAGAGTGAGTTTGAAAATAGGAAGATCTGACTGTTACCTAATTTCCTTGTCCCTCTCGGTGGGCTCTTTTGTGACTGTTTCTAAAGTGGTTCAGCTGCTTATTCTTTGTTGGGCTGGCCTGGGCCGTAGTTTTACCTGCACATATAATCACTAGTGCTGCTGCCAGGAGAAACATTTGTTCTTGGCCTCACGGTGTGCCCTCCTCAGATGCTTATGAAACTACATTGGAAACCAGACTGGGGGGAAGGAGGGCTGAAGACGGAAACTAATAAATAAAAATGTTCAATCTTTAACACTGATCAGGTCTTTCATGGAGTTCATTGCATGAAGGTGGGAAGTATGTGGAGGGCAGGGCCATTCTGTAGGTGGCAGTGCTGACTTGAGTAACTTAAGGTGCCCCTCTGTAGATAAGTAGGCTTTGTAGACACTTGATGGGTCGTCTCCCAGTATTGGAGCTGCTGTACCGCCCTCCCTTGTCTCTCTGACTTGCACCAGTAGTGGTGTTTTGTAGTAAGATGATAAACTGTGTGTTGGCTCAAAAACTAACAATAGTAGGTGGTTCACACACAAACCAAAGAAGGTGGTTAATGTTCGGGTGGGTCGGCAACCTGGATGATTGAACTACCTTGCAGCTGGGTTGTATGAATGCTAACACTGAAGCACAGGAAGGTGGGAGAGCCACGTAGCTGGGAGGTAGGGTGGGTCCACTATAGACCTAATGTAAATTTATTTAAGGTGCTGTGGAGTCATTCTTATACTGTGCCAAACCTGATTCTGCACTGATGACTTACTCAAAGGACGCACCTAACTGCCATCTGCGGTTTGCTACGGCCTTAATCTTCAATGGAGATGTATGCCAACAATATGCTCAGGCCCCTCAGAACCGTTGTACCCCTCTGCGACCTTTGCAGGCAGGGCACGGTGTCCCCGCAGACACTGAAGATGGCTGTGATCTGTGTTTGGCCAGCAAGTCATAGTCTGGCTGTCCTTTGGTTGCTGCTGGTAAATTAACTTAGCCTGTGCAGCTTGTTTTTCCAGTGACATGATTAATAATGACTGGTTTATACGCTTATTGTTAAATCGCATGAGAAGGCTTTTCTATATTAGTCCTACCACAGCTCAGGGTGCCATTTGTGGTTTTCATGATTAGCATAGCTTCGCAAAGAGAAATCTCTGTTGGCTCTGAGCGTTCCTCAGAGATGTGCCTTAGTATCCATTTCCATTTGGGTTTTGACTACATTCAACTAATATTATGAAGATAATTTCTCTCCTCATAATTGAAACAGTTGATTAACTGTGTGTTATGTGGTCCTTATATGCTAACGCTGTACTGCAAAGGCTTGTTGAGGGGTGAGACGTCTTGCAGCCCATTGTAAATATAGAAACACAGATGTGGCTTTAACTGTGTTGTAGGTGAGGTTTCTGAGAGGATGCAGTATTAGTGTTTTGTGTTTTGTTTTGGTTTTTTTTTCTTGTTAATTTGGTGTTGAGATTACAGATACTTTGTATATTTTTTGTGGTTATTGGTTTTACAGTTGACTGCAGAAGATAGATAGTTAACAGTTAACCGCAAGGAAGTAAAGATGCTCTACACACCCCCCCCCCCTTTTTTTTTAAGAATGGAAAAAAGATGGGTAAATTATAGTGGCAGCAAATGAGAGGCAATAAACAAATTAAGTCTATTCTGTCCTTATGTCTTGTACCTTCAGGAAACGAGGCTGTACAGCTGTTCTCACTGGTTGTCAGACGTTGGGAAATCTACCTGGGAGCTCCCTCTTGAGGGACAAATCTTTAGGAAACCAGGGGTCATGGGTTCTCTTACTAATGGAAAAGTGCTTGTGAAGTTGGAGCCATCAACTTAAACTACAATTCTCTGCAAAAGTCTTGCCCATGGTAGTTGCAGCTGTTATGATTTCAGCTGTGTAGAGATGCTATCAGGCAATTTCCCCTGTTGTGCAGATTGCTGAAAGGCTACAGGAAGACAGCAAACCCCATGTGTTTTAACAGAAACGTTTGGGCTTTAGGGTACAAGTGTACATAAATGCAGACTTATATTCCAAGAATAAACTTGATTTTGAGTTTGGTGGGATCTGTAGGAATGCAGTTTTGTAAGTTTGTGGTTTTTTTATTTTTAGGGGTACCAGAAGATGCTTCAGTGGTGATACCTCTTTCACAATGCAAGTTACGAATGAAATTCATTAGCTAACATCCCCTTCCTCACCCTGATCTCCAATAGACTTCCTGTAACGCTTGGAAGAAAGGGTCAGGGGAGAAGGGTTGAAGGTCACCATGAAGCTAAAGCAGCGAGTCGTGCTGTTGGCCATCCTCCTTGTTATCTTCATTTTCACAAAAGTTTTCCTCATTGACAACTTGGACACCTCAGCTGCCAACCGGGAGGACCAGCGCGCCTTTCACCGTATGATGGCAAGCCTCCATGTAGAACTGGACCCCCGACTTGACCATACGTTGCAGTCCCCTTGGGAAATTGCAGCCCAGTGGGTGGTGCCCCGGGAGGTGTATCCCGAGGAGACACCTGAGCTAGGGGCTGTTATGCATGCCATGACAACAAAGAAAATAATAAAAGCTGATGTGGGATACAAAGGGACCCAACTGAAAGCTTTGCTAATACTTGAAGGAGGACAGAAGGTTGTCTTCAAACCCAAGAGGTAAATATTGCCTTCAATGACTGAATTGATAGCTGCTTTATGTATATTTTTTTTATCTCAATGTTGTTGCATTAATGGTTAAGTTACAAATTTACACGTAAATTTGTGTTATTTGTGAGACAGACAGTATAGAGCCTTGCTGGTCCCCTGGTAACATTAGGTTGCTGTGCCAACTGTCTCTCAGGCTGTATAGCTTTGATGCTTGAAACAGCCTGTCTTCAGGTTAAAAGAATAATCACTGTGTTCAGTCCTGAGGGAACGTTGGTTAAACCTGATGTTTCTGAGCAGTGTCTTCCTGAATGTGGAAGTGCAGGTTCTGGCAGTGTGGAGACAAGTCTTGCCTACTCTTTCTGAGTAAGGGTCATGTCAAACTGCCGCGAGAGAATGCAGTTCAAGAATAGGGAAGGAGTGAAAGTTGACAGTGGTCTTAAAAGGGGATCTAGGTGTCTGGTATAGCTGCATGAAGACTAAAAATGGCTTGGTGGATTAGAGTGAAAGCCCCTGAGTTTCCTGTCTGCTAATAGTGAACACTGGAGAAGCAATGTAAGAATGGGCAGGTAGTGATACTTCCTTGGTATGGTCTCTGTTTACAGTGATCCACAGGGAAATTTGACATGGTTGAACATTTGTGAAGAGTTTTGTGCATGTCTGTAAATCTTTTTGAACTGTTTGCCTTTGGGGAGAAGGAGAAGAAAGGAAGGTGTAAAAAAGTAAGGCAGGTGTGTTTTATGGGAGTGCATTGCAAATGTAAAGTGTTACCATCACAGAATGAGTACATCTCTCTCCAAAGGATATTGGGTTGAGCAAGCATGAAGTTTTTCTGTCATGTTGATGAACGATTAGAGGAAAAAAAAATCTGCCCTCCACTTCTTGAATTCGCAGCCCTGTTTCTGTATGGTCAGTTACTGGTCTGGCTGGAGCTTCACTGTGGGGCTGGGCTGTGTTTAAACAGTGTGAACCTTTCACACAGAAATCTTGGTGGTATGGCAGGCGGCTCGTCCAATAAATGCAGTAACAAGACGTGGCATTTCTATAGTGCTTTCTGTATAAGTGAGCGCTGTAAAGTGTTTCACCAAGCATTAAATTACATTCCCATAATGGAATGTCTGTGCAGGCGAGCACAGTGACTATGCTCCATCAAGGACATGTGCAGCTGGGACTGTTTATAGGAGTGCTAGACAGTTTATAGGAGTGCTAGACAGTATGGCCCTAGCCATACTGGTGGACCCATGTTCTGTTTGTGACTGCTGAATAGCTAGGCTTGTAGGTAAAGCCTTGTTCTGTCATTGCAAGATAGTCTCTTTAACTAGCTTTTGACCTGAAAGGTATGTGGAAGTTATTACTAAAAACCGTTTTGAGAAAACTTACTGATTGGGGAAGAATGATTTCTCTTACTGATTGGGGAAGAATGATTTCTCTTACTGATTGGGGAAGAATGATTTCTCTTGATTTGCCACCTTTGCTCTAGAAAGAAGTAGGTGCCTACTGTACAGGGAAGCAAGAAGTTGGTTGTGTTTTACCAATAAGTTTTAGCTCTGCAGCTTTCAAAACATGACCATGTTTTCAAAAGCCTGCTGTAAGTCCATACAAAAGACCTGACTCCGAGGACATATTTTGAGGATTAGCTCTCTCATTTCAAAATTACTTGAAATCCAGCCTGAGTTATTAATGATTGATAGTTGCTACCATCACATGTCAGTGGTATATGTGAAATAAGATGCTTATTTGGAGTAAGTTCCAATTTGGCAGGAATCTGTCAAATCCTCCTCCCAAAAACTCCATACCATCATGCACTGGTTAACGCTCTATTGAGCTGCCTTGCCGAGAAGCTGAAGCATTTGCTCAGAGTGATGAAATGGACTGTGGTCTTGCACCAGATCTTCTCTGAGCAGGGTTAAAACATCAAAGTAGAGCACTGAAGTTTCTCTTACACTGTTGCTGCTACTGCTTGAACCCCAAGTCTGTTGGAAATAATCCAGTTTACACAATTTGATACATAGATGGAAATGAGAAAATAGGTAATCTAATTTGGCCTTACTTTATTTGAAAATGTATTGCATTTCACTCATTTGCTCGGTATTGATTGTGGTTTATTTATTGTGGATTATGCTCATCTCAAGCATGCTTCTTAAGCAGTATCTAGATCCGATTCAAATGTCATGAATCTCAGAAATTTGTGTTTGTCTTGACTATTTAAGTGACATCTATTAAAAACAAAAAAAAGCCCACCACTTCACCAAAATATGCCATTGTTGTTTTAATGAGTGTCTAGTTTCTATTTCTTTCTGTTCATATATCTTTTCTCCACCAGCATAAAGGTTTTGTTGGGTTTTTTTTGGTTTGGTTTTTTTTTAATCCAGTATTATCCTCAGGTGCACACTTGCTGATCTTCTAGCTACTAAAGATTGCATTTGGCATTTCTTCCACAATATCAGGCTGTATTTTCATGTAATCTACAATCCATTCTAACCCCAAAATCCTTTGTGGAGTTGCTGCTTTCCAGTATAGTCAGTCCCTGTTCTGTAGCTGGGTCTGTGATCTTTGTTCTTAGATGTGACTTGGCATATGGTTGAATTAAAACTCATTAGTTTGAACGTCCACCGCTTCCCAAGCTCTTGAGACCGCTGTACATTACTGACCTTCCCTCCTTATTTACTACTTCAGCAGTCTGTACGCTATTTAATCTCATTAATATATTTTCCCTCTCCCATTGGCAATCACTTTGAAAGTGACCCGGAGTCTGTTTTAACTTAGCGCTGTTATTGCACTTGTTAGTCTGAACAGCAGAGTGGATGGGAATCCTGCATGAATCACTTCATTTGACTTATTTCAATTACAGATATGCCAGGGATTATGTAGTGGAAGGAGAACCATATGCTGGCTATGACAGACACAACGCAGAAGTGGCAGCCTTTCACTTGGATAGGTACGGAACTATTGGGTTACCTGGTTTTAGTGTCTCTGGTAAATGCTTTTTCAGAGTTGGGGAAAAAGGGGTCCCTTGAAGAATACACCTCAGATGTGAGCTATTTCTAAACCTGCCAATGTATCACATTGAAGCCAAAAATAAAAATTATTAGCTTTTTTGTGAAACTTCATTTCAAAGATCTGTGCAAGATTCTAACATTTAAGATTTGTTTGAGAAATTTGAAAAGGAAAATGAGCACTGAAACCACTGATACTTCATATTGTATGTAAGAAAGAGCTTAGCCAAATCCTGTGGAAGAGACTGAAATGCTCAATGTGTGTGCTAAGTTAATGTCCAGTATGCTAAAAAGTTAAGTCTAATGTCTAGACTAAATACGAATTGATGCATCCTAGAGGAAAAACAGCTATTCATATATTAATTGTATTCAGGGGTATCCAGGTGGTTTTGTGCAGTGAGCTGGAGGTACAATTACCAGGAAAAAAACCAAAGTTACAGGACATACAAAGAATGGGACAGAAATTACCAAACATTGAATGTTGATAGTTATGAAATACGAGTTAAAGGTGCAGTTTCATCTAGAATAAATGAGCATGGTCTTCATCTCCTCATTATAAGAGGACTATGTTGGTACTTTGGAGAAGATTTCTGGAGATAATTAAAGATGTGAAAAATTCTTATATGAAGAGACTAAAAATCTTGGGAAAGGGAATAAGGAGGGACAAATATAATAAAGAGTCGGATGGTTGAACTTAAACTAAGGTTTTAGTCTTCCTTTCCTAGTACGTAAATAAGAGGCTTGTCACTGTGACTGAATTCATAGATGGTAAAAGATATGTTAGTCCTAATTCACCTGTGGAACTCATTGCGCAGGCACTTGAAATTAGTAATTCTAGTTTTGTAAAACTAGTTGTGTAATACCCATCACTGTTGTTGCAGTCTTTAGGTAGTGGGCCAAAATCAAGGTATTTTAAGACAAAAAAAAAAAAAAAAAAAAAAAGAGGATGTAGCCAGATGTCTGTTGCCCATCTGTGCTTTCAAGAAAAATGCAGACTTGTGTTTCCCTGAAAGAGCAATGATCAAACATGGTAAAGCAACAATTCAAAGCCTCTTTCCAGTGTCCAGCTCCCTCTTTCTCAGCTCTTCCTTGCTTTTTGTTTGGCTGTGTTTTGGTGCTTGTTTCTCTGGCACCTCTATATTTTTCAAGAATACCTAGCCGAAGCTGCCTGCCCACATAACTTTAGCGTGTACCTTTTTTTTGAATGGTGACAGTTATGTATTTTGTCCGAGGATGCTATCGTTTCAAGAAGGACCTGAAAAATATTGTATGTTTACCACTGATATGGAGGCTGTGCTATCCAGGATACTGGCCTTCCAGCTGTCAGTCTGAAAATACAGGGACAGGTTTTCCAGATCTGAGCTCTGTGCTTATTTACTTGGAACGGGTGCATTTTCTTAACCTGTGCATAACTGTCTGTATTGGCTAGGAATTTTGTCTTTATGCATACATGATTTGTTCAGGCAGACTTTTTCTGTTGCCCTTTCTTAGAGGTATTTTATACTTATGGAAGGGGACGTGCTCATTGAATATCTAAAAAGAATACTTTGCAGCTGTTAGAGTAACTCTCCCGGTATCTCTGTGGAATGTAGATTGTCCCTTTTTCAGAAGGAACAGTCCCTTTTCAGTCTCTCTTTCTGAGATGCAAAGACTACCAAAGGTGTATCAAAAGTACATTAAGAGAGTTGGGGCTGACATTGTACTGAGGTTTGTACTCCTCCTTTAAGCGCTTTTAAAATTCCATTACAAATACCCAAGTCATTTGTGGTCGCAGAGCAAAGACTGTGGCAGACATGGGAGTGGAACCTGGGTCTTGTGACTGCAAGTTTTATGATTATTCTTCCTACCTCTCTTTTTTTTCCAGACACTTCAAGCATTCAGTTTTGTTCTACCATTCTCTCTTCCCTTCTCCTCCCTCATGCCAAACAAAATAACTCCTAGATTGTTTGCTTTCAAGTATAATTGAATTGGGCTTAAACATAACATTTCAATAGATAGTAATTCCCACAAATTATAAATGATCTTTCCAGGTGACCAGCCCAAAGGCCATATGGTTACTGCTTCAGCCTGTATACAAGACAGATGATGGATGTTTCTGGTATGAGGTCTGATTTCTGAGAGTTGGAGCACAGTGCATCCTGTGGTGCTCTGCTGCAAATGCTCTAATAAAGGAGTGTCGCTGATGGCCTATAAAGCAAGTTTCACATCCAGGCACTTAAGAAAAATGAGTTTCCTTACTTTGCCTTGGAGAAGAGAGGAGGTTGCTGCAGGGTTCCAACTTTATTCTTTGGTCTCAGTCATCTCAGTTTCAGACAATGGCACAGAGACTGTGTTTTTGTTTTGTTTTAATTTAGAACTGCTGCCAATGTTGCAAATTCTCATGTCATGTTTTTTCACCCCAAATCAGAATTCTGGGTTTCCGACGAGCTCCGCTTGTGGTTGGCAGGTTTGTGAATCTGCGTACAGAGATCAAACCAGTAGCCACGGAGCAGCTTCTGGGTACCTTCATGACTGTGGGTAAGTGGATTGCATGGATTGTGCAGCCCAGTAGAGAAAAATGTGTTTAATGGGAAAAAAGAGCCATGGGAATCTGACACAGTTATAGAACAGTTAACTATGATACAGGAAGCTGGTAAGTCTCTTTCTGTGCCAAGAGAGATCGTAATGCTTGTATAACCCCATTTGGCGGGGGAGGAGAACTTGATTTTCTCCAAGCAGTTTTTCCTCTGTAACTTCTCTGTGTTCCCTCATGCTGCTGTTACAGATGGGATTTTTTTTGAGTAAGAATTTTCTCTCTGCTGCCAGAGGTGGTTAGAACAGTCTGTGATTAGACCTGAAAGGAAAAAAATTGAATTGTATTTAATGCAAGCACAGTGGTGATTTGGGATAATTTATAGAGCTGATGCATCAGTTGGTATTAGATGTTGTTTGTGCTACATCAGAGTCTGCTGAGCATTCATAACTAAATGTGTCAGAACTTCCGTATGTTGTTTACAGTAATAATTCTGTGAAGGGCACTTAATGGGAATTATTAATGTGAACTCCTACCAGGTGGTCATTAAGCACCAAGAAATGACTTATGCTGCAGCCTTAACTCCTTCAGGCTTTCATAAAATATCCAATTATTACTCCTTTTTCTTTCTGTTTTTTTTTTTCCCCCTAATAAGAAGACTCTAAAGATGATTGTTCATTACAGCTGATAAATATGTGCGCCTGTGTATACTTCTATTACAAGCACTGTTGGTAGTCTCACCTACTAAGTTTGTCTAACACTTTCAGTTATAAGGTATAAGACACTCAACTTTCAGATGAGAGTAGCTCTGCCTTGCCAAACTCTTTTTGCATTTGCAGATTGGGCGTCTGCCTCAGGCAGACTTCACTTTTTCTGATTTCAGCCAAGATAACTAAGCAGTTTTCTAGCAGAAATGCTGACTTGAAAAGTATGGCTCCAGAAGTTTTCATTGCCTTCCCTTAGATTCCTTGGAACCACCTGTTCTGCAGAGCATGAACCAAAGAAATGGGTGGATCTGGGGAGAAGGCAGTGATCTCATGTCAACCCAAATTTGACCATGTTTCTGAGGTTTTGAAGAGAAGATAATTCATGCATACTCAGTGCAGATTTGCTAGAGTGGCAGCTAGAATCTCAAAAAAAAATCTGTCTCTTGCTAGACCTGCTGCAGGCCATGGATAGGAAGAGAGACTTGCAGGGCTTTCCATACAAATAAGAGATCTGGTCTGCTGCAAGATCTATGTTGATAACGATCATCTCTCTGATTTCCTCAAGTTGTCTGACTGGGGTATTGGGAGCACAAGAGCCGGGTCTGGATGGAGGACTGCAGAGGAGTGCTGGCTGGCTAAGGGATTGTGATGTCTAAGAGTGGAAAGTGAAAAACACGTCTTTCAGTGAGCTGGGCCTGGTTTGGGGAGGATATTGGATGTAGAACCAAAGGAAGAAAGGACAGGGGATAAATGGAATCACAAGAAAGGGGACACAGTTGAAGAGTATTTTGGAAGAACGTCTGAGAGTATGGAACTGGAATTAACTTGGCAAGGGTCAAGCAAAGGCAGGTTAGAAGGGTGAAATAGAAAAGGTTAAGCTAAAACTGTTAATCTAGACTATGTAGGTTACTGTATGTGACAGGCTACATAGGCCTTAATGGACTAAAGACTGCAGGGTTTCATTGTTCCTCTCCTGTCAGAAGACACAGATGAAACTTTTGACAGATCTGCATTCCTAGGTCATACAAGAATGACAGCTTGTTTGTGTTTCCCTGGCTGAGTCAGCTCAAGTAACTGAGATGTGTGGCAGCTCCAAATCCATTTGAGTTCTGCTTGGTCTTTTTTCACATGTCTCTTTTTGGTAAACTTTTTCAAAAAAGTGAGAAATCTGACACAGGAAGTATGACATTTAAAAAACAAGGAGTGTTAAGGTTGCAAAGTCAAGGTCCTAAGGACTAGGAAGGGATCGCAAAAACTTGTTGATAATGCAGTGTTGTGATAAAAACATTAGAAAATGTAATTACTCTCTCCTTTGAATATTAGTCTTTAATGTTGCTTTTAATGAGTAGATATCTGTTTAATCTCTTGAGCCTCTCCCTCTCAGAGATAGGAAGCATGAGGTCAGGTGCAGTGAAATCCTATTGCAGGGAAGGCTCTGCTGCAACAATATGCTCCTGAATTTTTCAGTTGGCATCCCTTGGATTAAGTTCTGCTCTTTTGATACCTCTTTCTTTTTTTTTTCTTTTTTTTTTTTTAAGGTAATAACACTTGCTTCTATGGGAAGTGCTACTATTGTCGGGAAACAGAACCAGCTTGTGCAGACGGGGACATCATGGAGGGGTCAATGACCCTGTGGCTACCGGATGTCTGGCCTCTTCAGAAGCATCGGCACCCATGGGGTAGGACTTACCGTGAAGGCAAACTTGCCAGGTATGAGAACATGATAGGGTTATTCTTTATATGTGATAATTTGTACTAGAATTACCCTTGCAATACAGTGGCTAATTAAGGAGCAAGTGTTCCTAAAACCTAGAGTTTTGCTGACAGCTTTCTTGATATGACACTATCTTGATATGACACTATCAAGAAGTCTAGGATGAGATTTAAAGTAAAACGAGCAAGCAAGAAATCTTCATTGTTTTCCAAGATACTAAGTGCTGTCCTTTTTCTGCTTCTTGCCTGGAACATAACTCCACCATACAGTCACTCCAGGCTCTGAAAATCTTGGCCCTGGGCAAACCAAGACTCCTCTCTTGTGCCACTAGACCTTCATTTGACACTGTGCCTCTCGGTGGCCCACTAAAATAAAGTAGCACTGTGCTGTTTTCTGCCAGACCTGATTTCATGGTCCTTCTAGTTTGTTTCACAAGTTGTGGAGCTGGTTTAGCTTAAGCGGGTAGGCACTGAAGAGTTCTTCTTTGCTTTGAATACCATCAGTATTTGGTGACCATGCTCAGCATCTAAAGAATGCTTTGAGAGAAGGACAAACATGAGATCTAGCAATCTTGTACAATAGATGTAACATGTCCGAGTATTTGGGTTGGAGGTGTTTTTGCCATGGCCAGAGCAGATGGTTTTGCACTTAGTAAATTTTTCGAAGTCTGTGTCCTGGACAGGTGATTAGAAAGAGATTTTTAGTGCTTGATCTAAAATATCCGTTGATTTCCAGTGATGTGATTGTTCTCAGAAAGAATCTCATCCGAAGGCTTCATTGAATTGTTTTAGAATATTAAATGTACAGTTTGATTTTTGAGCAGCGGATGTTATCTCCTTTTCAATGGGTCAAAATCAGCTGTATTTAGTACATGGTAAATTGCAGTAATTAATTAATTTCTTGGAGGTGGTGTTTTTTTTTTTTTGAGAGACTCTTTTTCAGCAAAAACTGCCTGCTTATCCAGGAGTTTACTCTGATACCTATGCGGATTTGATATTTGCTGTATTTTAAACTTATTTGCTCTTGCCTCGTTCAGATGGGATTGCATGGTTCTGTTGTTTTGCACCTTGTCGTGTTGTGCTTTTCACTTGGAGAGCATCAGGAGAATTAAATGTTCTACATGTCATGCTCTCCTTTTTCTGTGTCTGGTAATTATGGAAAAATAACTCTAGGAATTTTTTTCCCGATCTAGCTGCTTCTACTCTGTCCTGAGTTGACCTTCTGAACATAATTCATATAGTCATATTAGTATGCGTAATTTTTAATGGACATGTAATAGATAAAAATCCCTGACCTTCGAAGTCCTACGCTAATACAATATAAATGATCAGAAATAAATGTCAGAGAAAGGTCTATCTTAGACTGTGAATGAAAAATGAGAAGAGAGAGCATAGTGTATCTGAAAAATTGTTGCAAGGAGATCAAGTACTGATCTAAAGTAAAATGAGAGAAAGAGAAACGCTTGAGGGAGAGAGGGGTGTAGCATAAAAGAAATGTATTCAGTACAAGGAGGAGTATGTTCCGAGACTTTTGCCTTGTGGGGTTGTGCTGTAAGTTGAATGTGAGTTGGACCTTGATGCAAAAGAAAGAGGGAACTAGAGACAGCATTTGAGGAGTGTGTGTGACGTGTTAACAAAAATATTGAGAAGATACACTTTTGGCCACTCTGATTTGCATACCTGGAGGAAAGATGGGATATTCGGAGCTTAGGCTCCAGACCTCTAGAAGATGAGGTGGGGTATCTGGCAGTTCTAGTAGTTAAATTCTGATCTTCTACCTGTTTTTATGACTCTCTGCAATTTTGAGCATGTCAGTGAGTCTCTACAGCTTGTGTTTCCTCCATTTCTGTTTCCAGTTCACAGATGATTTAAGGCATTTCCAACTTAACTGCTATTTTGTGAAGGATTGTTTCAGTCCTTACATGGAAGATGTTATAGATGTACTTGTTATTTAGGTTGACAGATGGAAAGGATGTACACCAGAGATTTGGCTGGTTTGATGGTGGTGTTGAATAGCTTTGAAAACTGTAAAGAAGAAAATGAGAAAATTTAAAGTCCTAGCTTTGGAGAACTGAGACATGGCATCTGTGTTATAAGACCACAAGTACATGCCTAGGTTATGTGTAGGAGAGGAGAGAAAAGGGAAGCTTGAAATCTTGCCATTGGAGAAGAAGGTAAGAGGCTCTGAAAGGAAAGTGGGGAGGAAAGAGACAACTGTGAGTGAAAGAGAATGAACACATGAGAGGCCCTTCTCCTCAGGACAGAGGAAGTCATTAGTAACCATGATGAGGTTATCTGCATTAGAAAGAAAAAATGAAGAGGATCACTGGAAAGCAAGACTCATGGAAGCAGGTCAAGGCAATAGAAATAGACACAGTACTTGAAGTCCTGAAGTAGGAAATTAAGGGAGGCAAGTCATTATGGTAATCTTGCTGGGAGGCAGCCTGACCACTGCTGAATAGTGAGCAGTGAGGAAGCAAACTCTGACCTTGTTTTCTCTAGCAAAATGATGTGTAACCTTGCACTGAAGCTATAGCTTGCTCCATGTGCTAGGGTGTTGATGCAGCATTTACTCTTTTAATAAAATACTTTTGTCTAGCTCTTTCTTCTTTATATAGCCTTGACTGCTGCACTCACCTTTTCTTTACGCACTTATAAGTGAATAAAGGGGCAGCTATAAACACCGTTGGTGTGCAATGATAGAGTGGTCCTTGAAGATTTGATTTGTTTTCTCTTGATGGCCCACAGGTGGGAGTATGACGAAAGCTATTGTGATGCTGTGAAGAAGACTTCACCCTATGACTCGGGCCCCCGTCTCCTTGATATCATTGACACCGCCATCTTTGACTATTTGATTGGGAATGCTGACCGGCATCACTATGAGAGTTTCCAGGATGATGAAGGAGCCAGTATGCTCATCCTCTTGGATAATGCCAAAAGGTAAGGGCAATCCTGGTGGCCAGGCAGTGGTGGGCACAAGGGCAGACATTTATCTGCTCTGTATCTCTCTGTTTTCTCTTACTAATTTTTTCATTAATACCTTTTGTGCTAAAAATCCAAAGCTTTCCTTCTTATCAGAAACAACTCACCGAATGTTAGGGTCCTTCAAAGGCTGTGATGCTTACTCTGTGCTCTAGATACTATGACTGCTTTGGGCAAAGTCTTAGTCAAACTATGGAAATACCCAAATTAGCACAGTATGACTTTTTTTCCCCAAGCAACTTTCAAAGTTTGCTTGTGTCTCTCCTCCTGTCCCTTTTATGCTTTTAATTAATGGAAGAACAAAAATTTAGGATTTATTATTTACCAGCGGGTATTAGCGAGTGCCATAGTAAAAGTAGATCTTTTCAAAACGTGTCTTTGAATAATTTGGCATTCCCCGCCTTCTGCATCTGTCTGCTGGCTTTAAAAGGTTAAAAGTTTAAAATGGAGATAGAATTGATACTGAGAGCAAAAGATGAGGATGTCCTGAGTGTGGACGTTAACTATTAAAACAAAAATGAAGCATGTGGTAACGGAGAGGAACTGATGAGAAGTCCTTCTTGAGGCCAGACTTTACTATTAAGCATATGTGTTTAAAATGTCAGTTGTTCTGTCTTTGCTGTGGTTTTTGTATGTTGGCTGGTATACTTTAAGTTAAAAATCCTATTGAAGATACAGCCTTGCTTAAATCATAACAATTTGCTTAATTTTTCTTAAAAGCAAAGATAACCTATTCCACTTTCTCATGATTTAGTCCAGAGACTCCTGAATTTATTTTTTTTTTCCTGATGGGTGCTACCATCTGCAGTGGCAGTGAGTTTCCCCTTCTGCGGATGGACCAGCTTCTTGATGGTTAGCTCTGGCAGTTCCTGTGCCGGGCTCTGCTCTGCAGTGGCTTTGTATACCACTTGTGCGAAGTGTACACAGCAGTTGAGTTTTCTGATCTAGACAGATCCTTGAAAGGCTTGGAGTTACCATTTCTTTCCCCATTTGCCTGTTGTATAGTGGATTCCTTCCTTCTGTCCTTCCTTCCTTTTGTTTCTAATTTGTCTGCAGTGGCCACGTTGAGTATTTTGTCTTCACGCATCAGCCTGTTCAGTAACACACTCCTTCAGTTATGTCAGCAGGATGCGTTCCACTTTGGGACTGCTTAATTATTGCTGCTTTCAAACTGCTTTAGGTGAATTTGGCAAAAATTGTCTTTCTGTAATGGTCTGGCAATGTGTTAGGAGGAAGTTAATGTATTAGTCACTGGAAGTGAATATGGTAGTTGAAGGTCATGTTAGACCTTTCGTTATGGTACATGCTTATTACGTTATGAAAACATTTCCAGTGGGGCTTTTCAGGCCCAGAAGTAAATTGTGTTCTTGAAAGCTTAAGTAAAGTTTTCAGCTCCTTTGAGATAAGGGATAGGGGGACAGTTTTTTCACAGAATCATAGAATATCTCAAGTTGGAAGGGACCATAAGGCTCACTGAGTCCAACTCCTTGCTCCTTGCAGGACTACCTAAAACTAAACCATATGACTAAGAGCATCATCCAGACGCTCCTTGGTGCCATGACCACTTTTCTGGGGAGCTTATTGCGGTTTTAAAGCTACTAATAACAGAATTATTTGAGCAGAGTAATGCCAGACTCCTAGTGTAAGTTATCTTTATTGAAGGGAAAGTTCTCTGTTGAAAACAGTATTATGAGGGGAGTGAAACTATTAAAAAAAAAAAAAAGGCACATGTTGAGATGCAGCTTGAAATACTGTGAAATTCTTTTTGCAGGCCTCCCTTAGAAAGTGTGATCATGAAATGTTGAAGTTGATCACCTCGTTTGTTGAACTGTTGATCTAAGCTTTGCCATCTAAAACAGCATGTGGCTGCTATTTTGTTCATTCCCTGTCCAGCTGTGTCAGACAGGCAAAGCTCCTGCTCTCTGTGTCCAGAATACCAATTATCCTTTCCCCTGCTTTGCAAGATGAGCTCAATTTCTAAACTCCTCTGAAGTTTGTTTCTAAGGTGCCTTGGTCTGATAAAGAACTAGGTATGCTGGTGTTGCTTCCATTTATCTGGTACATTAGCTGATGCTGTTGAGAGTTATATCTGCAATTGGTTATGGCCTGTTTATATTTTAATTTAAATGATTTGAGGTGTTGGAGCATGAAATTGCCCAGTATTGATTTTTTTGAATTCTTTACAAATCTGTTGATGTTGAGAACAACATTAGGAGTTCAAATGGTTCACTTGGTTTTAATTTTGCTTTTCAGCTTTGGAAACCCTGCCCTGGATGAAAGAAGCATCTTGGCTCCTCTTTATCAGTGCTGCATGTAAGTGAAACGCAGGGATCCTGTTCACTTTACTTATGCAATTGCTGCCCTTAGGCGTGCAATATAATTAAGTTTGAAGCCTTCTGGCAACCTGAAAATGTTCACTTGGGTACATAGTGCTTTACTTTTTTGAGGTGCGTTTGTTTGATGCATGGTCACTGCTCCAGAAGCTGAGAAATACATTTTTATTAAGGTAGTAAATCAGAAGGTAGACTGTAGGAAGTAGTCTCGCCTCCAGGTCACTGGTTCAAGCCTACCCTCAATCAGTATGACAGGTACTTTGCATCTGCAGCTGTCTGCATCCAGCTCCTGCCGAATAAAAGTTCACATCACAGTTTGAGTTCTCCCTGACAGAAGCTAAGGACTCAACGTGTCTGGCAACTTAACTACCTTCATTTCCAAGTGTTCTTTCTAAACAAGACTACAGCACTGCTCAGGGTGCCTCTTTCAAAGTGAAGTTTGTAGGTTTTTTGCAGGACTGTGTTTCTGCTTTGGCCTTGTGAGCTGTCGTTTTGTTCATTTTATTTTTAGAGGCTGTGACTTGTTGATTTCTGTTTTCTGTGGCCGTGCTTTTGCCAGGCCATTCCTACTTCTCATTAATAAATAGATAAAAGTACCAGGAAGAAAAATACTGATATATCCGTTTCCTGCATCTGTTACTTCAAGATAACGTTAACTCCTTTAAACCTTCCAAATTAAGCATTTAGTTGAGAGTTCCTTGAGCCTGTCCTTGGAGGGTTCTGTCTCCCAAATTCCTGGGGGCCTGTGAAACCTGGGAACTCTGCAGAAAGCCTGAACACTCACCCCCTGCTTGCGCTAAGCAAGGCTGTATGCACGCTACAGTACACCTGGCCTACATTCTGCAAGATTCTTGCAGAATCCGTATGGAGAATAATTGAAGTAAATGATTTTAAAATTCTTTAGTTTTCCTACATTAATTTTAAATGCATTTTTTATTTCCTGTTTTATGAGGATCTTTTGGAGTCTTTCTCATCTAGATTCTCCCAAATGCAACCAGAAGAGAAGTTTATCTGCATACGAGACTTTGCAGTTTCCTGCTTTTCACATATCCTTTCTTTCTGATACCAGGAAGTCATACGTACAATTGTTTTAACTATAGGTTTGTTACAACACTTATATTGCTGGTTTCTTTGGAGGCCATCAAAAGCCAAGAGTTTAGACCAGTGGTGCTAAAACACAAAAATTTGGGGGAGAATCCCAAGAGACTTCACAGAACGAGACAGTTTAGATGGGCTGACATGAACGAGGTCAATGGCCAGTGAAGCAGAAAGATCACTGCCGTGTTCACTTTCTGTGGCGGTTCAATCAACTGACTTGTGTCCTTTGTGATTAATTGTTGGTCGGGGATGCTCTTCCTGAGGTGACGTGTGTTTTGTTTTTGAATTAACAGCCAGACTGTTAATTTTCTTTCCTTTTCAAACTGTGTCTGGGAGGCCTCAGGACTGAAGAACTTCCTTGCTAGCAGTTGAAAGTGTTCCTGTATAACATAAGAACTATGTCACATTGATTCTTCTTCACCTTTAGTTTTCAAGTTTCACTGGACCCTCCCATGCCAAAACCACTTTTGTAATAAGACTCCTTTCTGTTTAAATAAAATCATGATGTAACAGGCTCCCTCAAGAGGCTGGCTTTTGGTATTGCTGATGGGACTTCAGCTGGACAGTGGTATGACATCGTTGTTTCTTTCTTTTGCAGCATCCGGGTTTCTACCTGGAACAGGCTCAATTACCTGAAGAATGGAGTACTGAAGTCTGCCTTAAAAACTGCTATGTCGCATGACCCCATCTCACCAGTGCTTTCTGACCCTCATCTGGATGCCCTAGACCAGCGGCTTCTCAGCATTCTGGCTACAGTGAAGCAGTGCACAGACCAGTTTGGGCCAGATGTTGTGCTGGTGGAAGACAGGATGACACTGTCTCACTTGTAATTGTAGTGGAACACAGATGAAACTCCTTTTTTAAAAACAAACAAAAAAGCGATAGAAAAACAGCACAATCAGTTCGGAAAGGCTGTGTGGCCAAGATGGACTGAAATGAACAGGAAAGCTTCCGAGCCAGAGAAACAGAGGTGACACTGGCTTTTACCTTGGGCTGACAGCAGTGAGAGGTGGGAAGTTGGAGCCTTGGACGGCTCAGTACCCGTAATGGCATCTCGGCCGTTGCGGTGTGTCCATTGCCGGCAGTGGACATTGCACTGGATAAAAATGGCTCTCGGTGTTGGTGGAAGTGTGTGGAATACAGACACTAACTTGTGAACTGAATCTAGAGGGGACAAATGGAGATGAACAGTAGAGTCCTCTCCCCTTCTCTTCCCCACATATGCTCCTGCGAGTTTTTGTCTGATTCAGGGCTGTACATAATCAGCTGTGAGCTGGTTAGGCATTTTACTGCTTCTTTAGAGAAAGAGGAAGTGGTGAATAAAATAATTATTAGACTGAAGAGTTGTGCCACCCCGCCGGGGGTGGGATGTTCTTCGGAATGCCATTAGGGGTGGGAGAGGGGACCTCTGCTGCTCAGTTGTCTTTTTCTCGATAAAAGGCTGGGAATGGGGTTTGCCTCATATATGATAAAGCTTCAGTGTTTTCACTGAAGTCCTATCGAAGATTTATCCACAGGGTTGGAGATTTAGGGGAGCACAGGGTGGTTATACAGCACTTGGTAATTAAGGGGTTACAGTAAGTTTCCACATGTTCGGTCACTGTTTTCCATTTATAAGGAATCTGGCAAGGTCTGAGTAGAGGAAATACCCTTGCAGTCCCATGTCCACATTAACCAAATTTTCATTGTATTGTAGCTGAGGAGGACAGAATGTGTCCTTGGACGCAGGTTCCGTTTATCAAGGACATGCTGGTTACTGTACGCCCAATGTAATTTGGGGAATCTGGGCATGTTGCACTGGTGAAAGAGAGGTATATTGCTGGACTTCCCCAGTAACCAACAGCCGTGGGCAAGGCCCTGAAGAGTAGAGAGAACCCTGAGCTGTGGTCTTTCCTCATCATATCCTATGGAGGGAGCTTCCTGCTGCTCGATGTTGTAATCACAGCTCAGTGCTGCTGTTTTGTGGAACGCCAGCAGTTTTTCAGTCCCGCCGTCTACCTGGCCTGGCTTGTGGCTGAGCTCTGAAGCTGTGAGCACTTCCAGTAAGTTTTCTGCCTTCCCCGGCTGCTTCCTGCACCAACCCCCACTGATGTTCTCACTGGGGTGGTCATCCTGCTGTCCTCACTCCTGGTGGTTTTGCTGTAGATGGGGAGAGTCAGTGCAAGTGAGCTTGTCAGGGCAGACTTGTAGCACTCACCTTGTGCCAGTCCTGTCATCCTTCAGCGCTGCCTCAGCCTGCACTGCGGATGAGCTTGTGGCCGTAAAACTTGTCACGCTTGTGGCAGGTCTGAATCTGTGTCTCTAGAAGGGAAGCAGCTTCGTCATTACGTTTGCAAATTTAACAGGTTTGCATGAATTTTCAGTTCAGACAGTATGGTCCTTAGAAGTAAGGAAAGGGCTTGCTTCCCAAAGTGATTATGTATTATTGAACTTGTGAGCAAGAGCAGCAAAATGTCAGTTTGAGACCTTTTCCTTGATTTGTCTGTCAGTCTTTCTAGCTCTGCAGTAGTGTGGCAGGCAGATAAAGAGCTCTTTCCTGTTCTTGCACCTGCTGCCATACCTGATGAAAGAGGTGTTAGTGAGAGAGTTTATTTTTAAAATGCAATTTTATTTTGTTGAAGTCTTTTTGTCATTGCCTGAACAGAGTATCTTGAAAGTAGGATGCAACTGTTTACCTGAAATTGAATTTTATGTTCTTCTAGATCTCTTCTGGACTTGGCCACATCACAGACCTGCCCCACAGCCAGGATGGGATGTGGAGTTATTTATTGGTGTTACTAGCCAGGACTGTAATGCACAGCCAGCTTTTAGGACACCGGTGTTAAGCTAGTGCCTGTTTATTGCTGTACTTGATAATATAACACATGCTTGAGAAGCCATGGTCCTTCGGTGAGTTTAACCCACCGGTGTGGATTGTGCCTTGCAGGCTCTCTTGGAGCAGACGTGAGCACGCTCTGCTGATGGTGAGCGTGGGCAGGAGCCGCGCAGGGGTTGCCCTGCTCCCTCGCTGGCTGAGCTGGCCCGTCGCTTGGCTTGCTGTCAGATTTTGGTGCTTGAGCGAGACAGTGTGGGGAAGTACTGTGGGCAGCAGTGAGGTGGTTAGTGAATGTTTTTATTCTAAAGCAGAATAGATTCATACAGAGGCATTTTGGCATAAACTGTTTCCTAGGAAATTGAAGATGATTTACACAAAGGGGAAATGGTGAAGCACATGGTAGTGACTTGTAGCAATTTTTAAAAGCATGTTCTTCTCTTTGAGCTTAATCATGAGCACTTAATATTTTGGGAAGGATCTACCAAAATTTGAAGTTTTGATTTATATTTGATCACTCTTGATCATTTACATTTGATTTAATAATGGATTCCAAAAAAAGTCTTTCTGTCTTTATGAAAGTAAATTAGTGTTCAGGGCTTATGTATTGCTTGTTCACGGGGCTCTAAGCTGAAGCTTTTGCTGTCAGATGGAACCTGGGGATCAGTTCTTCCCCGGTATGAATGTCAAAGATTTAAAGCACTGTATTGGTTTAATTGTAAACAACGGGCATGAAGTCCGGCATCATCAGCAGGAGGAAGCAAGAAATGGTTGCTTTTTTTTCTTCTTTTTTTTGTCACGTCGACGCTTCTGGTCACTGTAAACACCACTGGAGCTTGGTGTTCTGCAGCAGGAAAGAAGAATAAATTCCTCTCTTACCCAAAATCAGGAAGATCTGATTTTGGCCTTGTGATAATCTCTGGCATTTTGGCAGTGATTGTTGTTTTGCTTGAATACAGAACCCTGAGAAATTTTAAATTGAACCATTGCAAAGGAAATAAGAAGCGGCACCCACATGCAAACAGGGTCTGCTTGGTTCTCTGAAAAACAGCATCGTTTGTGAGGCAGGTGCTATGCTCCATCGATGAGGTTTTCATGACACCTTCTAATTCTTGTTCACTGTGCACACTATCATTCGCTGGCTCCAGATGTTACAAAATGGTTGTGTTGCGGATATTAGTAATAGCAGAGTGCTTGAAGCACAGAAATCAAGAACTAATTAAAAAGAGAGCATCGTCAGCCATCTGCTCTTCATCTCCTCCTTCCTAAGTCAGCAGTCGGGCTGGAGGAGACACTGAAGTCGGCTCCTCTTCGAGCAGCTAATGAACTGGAGTGTGTCTTGCCAAACAAACTTCAACTGAAAAATACTAATTTATTAAGAAGGTAATTTATTTGCTGTGGCAGCTGGAGCAAGATGCTTGAAACAGACACCCCTCTTGGAGCTGTCAGAGGATTGCCCCTGGGAGCAGCTGCACAAATGGAGGTTGCTAATAAGAAAACAGAATGCAATCATGACTTTCTACTTGTATCCCCCAGGGTCAGATTCCACATAAAGCAACATTGTGTGAATAAAGATTTTAATAAAGCAACATTGATGGATTGTTTAAGTCTCTCTCTCTCTCCCCTGTGTGTCTCTCTCTTGTTCCAACATGTGGCGGGCTGAACGTTTAAAGTGTTTTGCTGCTGTTGTTTCACGGTTATTTCTTCGCTGATAGTTATCAATGGTGTTTATTCCAGTCATGTATTTCCAAGAATGGGGTCAAACGTGGAGGTTGTTTGCAAGAGCTTTGTGGGTAAGGAAAGATGTGTTTAAGAAGGGCGTCCCAGAGTGATACAGAAGAAGAACACATCTATCTTTAAGTGGTCTTCAGAGAACAAATATTTTTTGCTTTTGAAAGTGCATCCCATGGCCAAGCACCTAGGCTGATTTCTTGGTTGTGTCCCAATAGGCTAGCTTTGTTACATGGAGCAAGGGATGTATATTGAGTTGGCAAGAGATGTATATAGAGTTGGCAGGTGTTCATGGTTGGCTTTTCTAGACTTTGCCTGAAGCGCTTTTATGAGACGGGGCAAGTAAACAGCCATCAAAATCTGCTCCCACTGAATGCAGGATTTAATCCGCCTGTATCAGAGCTTGTTTCCTTAATAACCCACAGCAGTGAGTTTTTCAGAGGTAGGAGGTGATGCTCACCGTTCCGAATGTCAGGCATCTGGAAGGCACCCAGAGCTGCTGTGTGCTTCTGAGGACTGCGTGAGCTGCTGCCAGCCCCCAGACGGCTCCTGGGGACAGGACACCGCAAAACCACCGCGGCACCGTGCCGCTCCTGGAAAGGTGGGAATGATCTTTGACCTGGCCTGTAGCATCAGCGTGGTGTTGTGAAATGACCAAAGGCACCTGCTTTTTTTTTAAACTAGAGTTTCTCAGTTGAAACTTTGGACTTCAGCATTGCTGAATTTTGTAAGAACTGTTTTTTGGGGTTTATTTTGGGGGTTGTGGGGGGGAGGATGTTCTGGGTTTTTTTTGACTCCTAGCATTGTGTGGTGACAATAATTTTTCATATCCTCCATCTCTATTTTTGAGGTGTCAATTTGTTCAGGGAGCAGGACAGGATTCTTGCTTGTGTACAAGCAGTTCAACAACTTGCAGAAATTACAGATGCTTTTAAGTTTTGAAAGGCTGAAATAGCTAGTTTTGAGGGCTGTTTTTACAAGCACTTTGTCATATTACTGCTATGTAATTTTGGACTGGTTGGCCTTAGTAACGGGGTGAGAATTCATATAACTGGAAGATTTTAAAGTGTTCCTGATTATGTAATGAACACAATTTTACAGAAGAACGAACAGAAAGAACTTTGAGCCAATAGAGAACCAAAGGGTTTTGAAAATTAGCACTTTCCCTG